ATACTCTATTATTTGAAGAAAGCTTTTTTCTTGCTTAAAAGTATAGTTTCTTCAAATGATTGGCGTGTTTGAAGAATAATCTATGGTAGCACCATAAACCCTGTAGCTCCACCTTTGTGCCTGGTGGCTTGCCAGCAGTGTTGCCAGAAAGAGTCGAGGTTTTCCAGCCCAAAAATCTGTTTAAAACCACCACATCACACAAAAAACCACCCAATCAATATATTGTTACAGTATATTTACTGTTTGAACATGAACGCACATCAGTACAAGCCAAGATAATTTAACAATATGTGGCAAAACACAACTCAACAAAAAATCTTCCCAGAGTTCCCAGCAAAATCAGAATGAAAATTGCCCAATCTGGCAACACTGTTCACCAGGATCACTCTGCACTGCCTCAGACAAGGAAAGAAAAAACTGTTCTTCTCCACAGTGTCACTCCTACCCACGTGAATATCTTGCACCAAAAACATTGTTTACTTGCATTCTCTGTTTAATTCCAGTCCAGAAAAAACCACTTCTCGAAAACTACAAACATTCATTATTCAAATCCCTGTGTGACAAGTGACATACAGCTTGTTGTTTCATAGTGCACACCTTACAGAAAACACATGAATTTACAAAGTTTTCCCCACTGATTACATAAACACGTTAAAGTGCTTGAAAGTTACATGTAAAACATGAACAAAACATGTTTCACACGTTAATATAATACATTTTTAGAGGTGAAACCATGGGATTTTCCACATGTGGAACGTATCATGTCTTTGTTTAAAGTTCTACACAGGAAATGTACAAAATATATTGTTTCACATATGTCGCATGTTAATTCAACATGTTTTCACATGTGGAAACCTGATTTCCTCATGTGAAATTCATGTGGGGTTTCTTCTAGATCCACTGAAAGTGCCACCGTTAGCTGCTGCCATTTACACTTGTCACTATGAAATTTTAAAGATTGATTGGTGCCCATATCCATCAGTCACTGTGTGAGAGGGGGGGACACCCTGGACAGGTCTCCAGTCCATCACATGGACACAGACAAATGAGACAAACAACCTGTCACTCTCTCACTCGCACCTAGGGACCATTTTAGTTGCCCATCAGCCTAACATGCATGTTTTTGGTCTGTGGGAGGAAAACGGAGCACCCGGAGAAAAACCACGCATGCAGGGAGAGAACATGCAAACCACCTAGAAAGAACCCCGGCTGGGATTTGATCCAACGACCTTCTCACTGAGAGGCAACAGCTCTACTAACAGTGCCACTGTGCCTCCCCACTACAGAATCTATTTAAACATATAAAAATCAATTAATAGCTAAAAATTAAATGACGTAAATAAATAAAGAAACCATCTGAAAGTATTTAGTCACAGCTGCTCTATTTTCTTATCAGATAAGTAAAAGTAAGTTGGAGGTTTTGTTTGGACTGTGGGAACTTGGCTGCATATCTTCTCACTCAGGAGGAATGTTGACTCAATGCTTGACACCAGGTCACTGACCTAATTGGGTTTGTTAAGGGCAACTCCATTGTTAAACGCTGAACGCGTCTCTCTGGCCTGTTCGGCAGCTATATTTCAGCTGATAAACTGCACCGGGAAATAACATAACCTTAGTTGTGGCATGGAGTGAAGAAAGTACAACATGGGAGCGTCATAAATCTCCGGGGTTATCTAACAGTTCTGACAGCGCTGCTGAAAGGCGAGGGGAAATCATTCATCACCAGCTCACTCAACAATGGTACGGAGAGCCATTTACGCCAGACCATCTTCAGTCCTCTCAGCAGCTCCGAGTGGCCTGATCACCGTCCATCAGACGAGTAAAAGCCTCACCGATCCAATTCTGGTGCATTTATTCTCCGAGCTGACAGCTAATACAGCTACCTGTGTGTACAATGGATTCCCATGAACCTATTAAACCTGGTTCAAATAGAGCATTGTGTGCAACTCCACAAATAAATATAGCAGGTGAAATTAAATAAAAAGTAACTTTTTTTCTTTTTGCAGTTTCTGGCACGGCCGCAGCCTTTCATGCTCAGTCTCATTTGATCAGTTATTACTGGTTTGTTATGATGTTTTGAACTGTCCAGTCAGTTTGTAAAACTTTACTGTGTAACATCCTGATGCATGCTCAATAATCTAAGTAGAATTTTTTTTTTTTTTTTTTGCATAGTGCAAAGTTTTTTGCATAATTTACATGCCCTGCGACTTATAGGCTGAAGCAACATATTTATGTTTTTTTTTCCCATATTTATAAACCAATTTTTGGCTGAGATATGACCGTTTTCATTTATACTGACCAAAAAAAAAAAAAAAGAGAGAGAGAGCAGTACCACTTTCAGCCACTTGATGGCAGCAGAGTAGTAATAGATATATGGCATGCTGTTGTATCGTGTAATAGGTAAGCGTAGCTATAATGACAACTTCAAAAAAGTTCAAGAAAAAACAACTGGACTTTATTTTTTATACTTTATTTTTTATACTTTACTTTATACGTTATTGTTTTTTTCTTGAATTTTTTTGTATTTACCATGTCCTGGATGACTGAGAGCTATTAATGACTCAATCGGTCTGCCATCTTCTCCCCACCTTCATTCTGCTCGTTGCTTGGAACCGTCAAACCAGCTGCACCGTCCCGGCGAAATGCAGCTAATTTGACCATTAAAGTGCATTTATTAAGCAAACGTTAGACTGAGGCTCATCTTTGCTATAATTTCAAGCAAACAAATAATTATTTAGGTGTTTATCTTGTTAAATTTTGTACAGCCACTCGTCGCATGCATGCGTTTACTTCCGCGTATCGGGTTTTGAAATACAGCTGATTTGACCATCAAAGTGCATTTATTAAGCAAACGTTAGACTGAGACCAACATTTAAAATAATTTTGAGCAAACAAATAATTGTTTTTAAGTGTTAATCTTGTTAAATTCTTGTTAAAGTCCTCCCGTGCACGCTCCCACAGCCGCCATTTGGCAGCCCATCAATTTTTGGCACAACACTGGTCCCAATTTCGGGGTTGTCAGTGATGACGCATAACAAGCACGAAAAGTCAGCGGTGACGTGTAATAGATGCGATGTATATGGCGAAGTGACATATTTATGGATTTTTCCACTTTATTAGACCAATATGGACTGATGCAACTTATACGGCAGAGCGACGTGTACGACGGAAATTACGGTAGTTATTTTCTAAACGTAACGTCCCAGTGGCTTTTAAACCCCAAAATACAATACGGCAAAGACTGGTTCATCCCAAAGATCCAGTCCCCCGGCACAAACAGAGTAATGTTGTGTATGCTGTTCAGTGTCAGGAGGGCTGTGGTCAGTCCTACATCAGGGAAACTAAACAGCCACTGGCCAAAAGGATGGCCCAGCACAGAAGG